GAGGTGAGGAAGAGCATGTGTGTGTGTGTGGAAGTAGAGGTGCATCGACTAATGTGTCAAGGGTTACGAAGTAAACGTGGGCGGTTGCCGAGCCGTGCGTCTCATTTTCTGTTTCTTCTTCATCAAGTTACCTTCGAATTTGGTCCTTAGTTTTTTACTTATATGAAGAAGCACTTAATGGTTATTATTTAATCATTTGGTAATCTAAGTTTTGGTAAACGATTGGATTATTTTCTCTAAGCTATTCTAACGTATTCGACCTCAAATTTGTGTATCATATGATATAAGCACAAAATCATAATAATCATTGTAATTAGCTCATAACCTTTAATTATTATTTGTAACTTTTATAAAGATTTTTTTTTTTTTACTTTATAAAGATTTTTCATATTTGAAATATGTAATTTATGATGAAACCAGTGCATTCTCAATAGAATTATTTTAACTATCACTTAGATTTGTTTGTCATAAACAAATTTTATGCGTTGATAAAATAAATACATTGTTTGCATATGTAAACTAATAAAGAACATAAGTGTTTATAAATGACGAAACAAAATTTCTACTACGTTGTCAACTAAGAGGCTCAAAGTTCAACATAAAATCCAAGTGACATGCCATTCAACTTGGGTTTATTTAATGCGTCACGAATTTGTTCATAGTATAACGAGTTTACATCTTTTTCCTAACCCAACTAGTACCAGTCTAACACTATACCACATCGCGTTGGATCGTATGAGGATTTGTTTAATGTTTTAGATGTACGTAACTAGTTGACCTAGCCGTTTGGGTAAGTAATATTTGTTAAATTATCATACAAATTATTCCCTTACAAAAATATTAACGTAGTTTCAATCGTATTACATAGGTTTGTACGTAGATGGTATGATGATAGTTACTCACATTCTCAGCATCTTGTTATCGTGAACCGCAAGACACCAATGAACTTTATTAAACAACGCATCGATCGTAAACTTTGATCACTTGCACTCTCTTCTACACTCTTATCATTTCAACACTTCAAATCGTCGTCGGTACAAGCAATATATATTCCGAGTTAATACTTACTATATATCGCCAAATCAACGTACAATATTTACAAATATACAGTTTTGATAACCTGAAAAGTCAACTATAATCTAGAGTTCTAAGGAAGATTATTTGTCCGATTAGTTTAAATAAATTTTTAAATATAATAATCTAGCAGCATATTTGATACTCTACGGACTACAATTACTAATTTGGAAATTATATGTTGAAGTACTAATGTAGTAGATTAGGGACCATTAGAGCATAGATTATATAACCCTAAGATAGATTAACGCCAAGTTTAAGGCCACACGCACGGGATAACACGTGTTTCATCTCACGTGTCAGCCTATGCTTCTCTTATTTCTCTCAATTCCTTCACATCTACGAAGTTGAATTCTCTTTAGATTAATATTTTTAGCATCGTATCATATTATTATAAGCGTTAATTGCTATTTTATTATCGCCGATTACCACCGATTGACATTTTTTTGTAAATCACTAAATTTGATTGGGCAGCCTTAAAACTAGATCTATGGTGAGCTCCGATCCCAATATGTTTTGAGCTTTACGATACGATATCTGCAGTTTAATGACAAAGGTTAAAATTAAAATACTTAATTGTTTTTAAAATAGGAAGTCAAACCTTAATTCCTTTTCGCGGATGGCATTTATTCATCTAGTTGTATTATTAATTCAAGTTTGACTGAAAAGTGATTTTGACTAATCCCCCAAAAAAATAAAAAACTGGTTACATTACAACTTACAAAGTTATACAACTTAATATCAAGGACAAACGGAAATCATTGTTTTTCCAGCTTGTCCGGTTTTATCTTTCCGACTAGATCCAGATCTTCCCTTTTTGCAGAACCTCTTTGGTGATGTTAGTGAAGCTTTTTCTTCAATTTTCTGCTCCAATCTCTTCTGGCCTAAGAGCAGGGGCCGGCCCTAGGACTCTTTTAGTGTGCATTTGCACAATGTTACTTTTTTTTTGGTGAAATTTAGGTAAAATTTTTTTTCAAAAATGCCAAATTTTTGTTTTGTATGTAATTAGGGCCCAATTTATTTAGAAAAATTGGCCAAATAGACATTTTTAACTTATATATTTTGCCAAATAGGCAGCTCACTATTTATAATTATCAAAATAGGCATGTTTCACTATTACACTAATACACATCATTCCAATGCACTATTCATAGTGGATCGTGTACATACTATTTATGGTAGATGGTGTACACATTTTTCACGGTTACACAGTGTTCATGGTGAATATACTATTCACAATAGATACTATTTACGATGGACACTATTCATAGAAGATAATGTATTGCGTGAATAGTGTCTGTCATGAATAGTGTTCACCGTGAATAGCATCCAACGTGAACAGTGTGTATACCATGAACAGTATGTATACCATGAAAAATAAAAACACGTGAACAGTGTATGCGTCGTGAACAGTGTATGCGACGTGAACTGTATACATCATGAATAGTGTGTACACCATGAACAGTGTACATACGTAAACAGTGTGGTGTACATGCATGAACAATGTGTACACATGAACAGTGTACATGCGTGAATAGTAAGGCCGCATGAATAGTGTCCACCGTGAATCAGTGTGTACACCATGAACTGTGCATATACCATGAACAGTATGTACACCGTGAACAGTGAACATTGTGTACACCATGAACAGTGTGTACACCATAGACATATACACCATAAATAGTGAAAAATGTCTATTTTACTTATTATAAATAGTATAATAGTGAAAATGTGCCTATTTCACTAATTATAAATAGT